AAAATAAAAACTTGTTGCAGATATTGAAGCCATTCATTAAAAGAAACACATCGAGACTCAAAAGCATAAAAATTGTGCATTTGAATTTTGAAAAAAAAAAATGGCAAGAAACCTAGCCCACCCAGCTCTATGAAGCTGGGAGTTTGCATAAGACAAATAGAAGCATCTTTTATAAGCCATCATTAAATTCTTTTCATTTTTAGAGCACTACTCTTTTAGCTGACCTCTTACTATATCCTCTAGTAGTGATATCAAATATAGAAACCAAATTGAGGATCCAAAGGGCAAGATCTCCACCCCTCCCCCGATATCATTCAGAGTTGTATCTGGCCAGACCTCTCCAGCCAAATAGGCCCCTAAATTCGACAATGCTTTAAAACGGAGATATCAAACTGTGAACCCTCTTCTCCTGAGAGATATGTTTGTCTGGACTGCACCAAGCTCTGAGTCAACTGACATTGTTTACAGCTCAAGAGATTTTATGAAGTTCAGAAGCTTCAGCCCCACTTCAGCTTCAGCAGATATTGGTTGGCCCTTTTTGGATGGGGCATTTCCTTGTCCGTGCACCAGTAGACACCTTTACTCACTTGCAACAACTCCCTGGTCCTTTTAGGCTTTTGAATTTTAACCCTTGCCTTAAGTGAACAGGTATCTCTGGTCCTGAGATTCCCTTCCCACCTGAAACGGTTGCCAACTCTTCACTAAAGACCCACATGGTTTTCCTATATCAGACTGCTGCTTGTACTAACAGTTAGAAACAGGCAATCAAATACCATGTCATCTGAAGCAGATGGTGGGCTTTTTTTTCTTCTTCATACAGGGGACTTTGTGCAAAACTTCACTACAGATGCACACTTTAAAGTTTTTGTTCTATTGAATGGTGGTTCTATCATGGCACAGCCATCCTTGCCTGAGTTGACTGCCAATCATACTAACTTCCCTGGAAACAAAAGTTTATAGAGGCAAAAAAAGAGTCAGGAAAAATTAGTTCTTCTAATTTCCAATAGAAGGAGAATTTTTCTTGCATCTATAATAAAATGAAAACAGAGAACATGGAACAAAACATATATCATTTACATGTGATGTTTTTGAAAAAAAAAGCTGGTTGAATTTTAGGTTGTCCTTGGGACACAAGAATTGTTTTTGCATTCCAACCTGGTACACATGGGATTGTGGAAATGAGCGTGAGTTGGCTATCCATGGGTACGATTTTCTACAAACAGTTTAGCTTGACTGCTGTGATATGATAGATAATGTAGTGATGCCTCTCCAACACCTCTTGTTAATATTCAGAGTTTATTGTAATTTCGAGTCTCTTAATTCTGCCAAAAAGTCTAATTACCCATGAGACCACTGTATTCTCTGTTTTTACCAAATCAGTGGTCTTGTAGTCCGAAGCTCTGAGGACAGTAGTAAAACGAGGGAAATCCAGGAAGGCTATCCTTGTAGAGTACAACCTTCAGCGTTCAGTGTTTACGGATAAAAGAGCTGCAGAAAAAGGGACACAAAGATGACCTGAGTCATGGAGAGTAGGGGTCTATGTGAGAGCTTAGGTGGATTTGGGATCCCCTTTTCTCCTGTATTCTCTCCAAAATTCGCCTTTCCTTTTACAGATCACAAGTATAGCTTCACCTCCCTTGTTAGGTTCATCTAATGCCACTGAGATCTCTGTATTTCCCTTGCTCAGGACTTGCAGAGGAAGCTTGGGCTCACGGAGAGACATACTGTCCATCAATGCAGCAGCTGCATTATTGGGCTCTTAGCAGATTTTAGAAAATGAGACTAAGTTGTTCTTAGACGTGAGCAACTTGTCAGCAAGTCCACATAGTAAAAGTATTTTGAATTTTCAATTTACAACACGAAGTTACCGCTCGTTGGTCTGAAAGCCTTGTCAGAGAGGTTCTTTTATTGGCATATAGAGTGTATGCCCTTTATATTTTGTTGTCATTTTCCTGTTTTTTCTTTCCTCCCCTCTTTCTTGATGTACCTTTTTTTAAAAAATAAAACATCCCTGAGTGGATACAGTGCAACATCTGCATCAAGCAGTGATTGTCATTTACGAAGCATGGAGTAAGAAGTACAGATCATGGGTTATTCTTTCCAGTGCACACTTTATCATGAATGTGTTATGAATATTTGTGAATGTTCCTGGGGAAGGGACAAAGATTGCATGTGGTAAAGAAAGCTGTTCTTACCAAAATTTCAAAATACCTCAAGATGGAGTCACAGCAGATGTTTAAAGGGCAGCTTTTAAAACTGCTCTGTTACCATTGAAAATATGACTTGGTTCTCTTCTAAGGGACACATTTGGCAACAATGGCAAAAAACCAGAAATCTATTTTCTCAACTGAAGTGGGCTGAGTGTGTACTGTTTCCACTGTTCTGTTCTGGTTCAGTCTCTAGCTGTTTCCTGTCCCCTAGCTTCAAAAGGTTCATGCCGTCCCAATTAAATGCTTGCACTAGTGGAAATGACACAAATTCAAATCCAGTACCTCCTGAGGCAAATGTGGGGAACAATCTTTTTCCTACATCACCCATGGGACAAAGGAGGAAAAAATTCTCAGCCACTTCATCAATTGAGCCGATTTAAATCCTCTAAGGTAAATTGGAAGAAACAAATGATCCTCTTTGCAACTGAGCAGGAATTACAGGCTGACAATGGAAAACACTAGGCCAACAGAACGATGAAAACAAAGTTTGACATAAGTTCAAAGCTCAAAGGGAAACACCAAGCAGACACATTACACGTTGCCTATCACAAGCCAATCATAAAACATACATTGCATTTGGAAACGGCTTGGTTTAATTGAGTGCCTTCCATTACCCTGTTTTCCTAGCAATCAGTAAAGTAATCTTTCCATTAGAAGGAAATATGACTCTTGGAATTAATTCTTTATACAAAGAGCTAGCAGGAGTGACATTTACACCAAAAAGAATTGCGTCCCTGTAGCAGCATAATAAGCAGTCTACAGCTGTCTTCTTAGACACTGAAGTTAATTTGGTTCAATGTAGTTAAATTAATTGAATATAACAGTAGTTGAGAAAGAGATTCATTATTTTAAAGTCGTTTTATTTTTCCCCATTGGTTTGGAATTCATCAATCATGAGGTGGGAGAAGGCTCTGTTTTCTAAAAGAAAAGACTAGCACTACTGTTTGATCATCAGCGAGGAGTTTGGTGGCATCGTGGAGAGGGCTCTCCACTTTGTAACTTCAGGGAAGCATAAAAGATGATCAAGAACTCAAAGTTTCCCCTGATGGAAACCTTACAGAGCAGGTGTGCGTGCGTGTGCACGTGTGGGCGTCTTTGATGAGGGAAAAGGGGCAGGTCTTCATGAGTGGATGGCTGGGCTATACTTACAGGAGATCGTAATTTTCATTGTTTTATACATAAAGCTCTCCTCTACCTTCCTTTTTAAAAAATCTTACTTTGGATCAAAAAAGACCAAAGGCATAAGGCCTCAGACCATAGGTAGAACCAACTCCTTAAAATTTGTGCTTTTTCTGGTGATCAGTTTGATTAAAGAACAGTTGGCGAAGGGAGAATTTTTATGATAAGGTTGCCATTCTCTAATCCTCATCTCACCTCTTGCATTCTGTACTTTTAAAAGTTGCTAAGCAAATAATACTTGGCTCGGTGGGGAATGTAACTTCAAACTGCATGAAAAATAGTGTTGGCTTTGGGGTGTTTTTGTTTTATAGAATAACTCAGACATTTTTTTCCAATTTGTCAAGTTTTTGCTATATTTTTATAAAACATTTACTTTGGAGTTGGAAAAAATTAGATGCTCCTGATTAAAGGACATAAAAAGTCCTGCCTCCCCCCTTATTGCTGCTTTTTTTTTTCCTAAAAAAACTTATTAAAGAGAATAAATATAAAGAACTGTTTCTTTACTTATTTTTTCTATTCTTTGCCAAAAAAAGAAGAAAATTAAAGATAAAGGTTACATGAAATGGCATTGGGACCCTGGCTTTTGATTTACTCTTTTAACTCCAATTTTATTAGAAAAAATTGCTGGTGGTCATAATCTATAGACTGTATTTCTCTGTTGAGGACACAGTAAGCACCGAAATCAAGTTTCACAATCTGAAATCCAAAGAAAAAAGTGTTTTGTGTGTTCTGGTGAAAATCTATTGTTTGGTCCAAAAAGTCCTGGACTCCACAGTATGACCTGTGGCCTAATTCTTAAAACAGGAAAATGGCTCCAAATACTTGTATTTTTTCCCAAATATGTACCATCTTGACAAGGCTTTGATGTCATTGATAGAAACAGAGTTTTTATACAGAGGCTGTGCATTATAAACTTATTTCTGAATTGTTACCATCCTGCCATTGACTGTGGATGAAAACTCTGGTTGGGAAAACAAAATCCCGATTGTCTAACATAAAAGTAACACGTAACACAGAAAGTAAATAACATAAGAAAGCCTGACTGAATCTCCTTTGCTAGTAGGTATGATATTTTAAGCCACAGTGCATGTGCATGTATACGTAATTGTCATACATAATATTCTCAGATATTATATACTTATTACATAATGCACAGTGCTTTCCAAGACAGCTACAAATTTACACATGCATCAACTACCTAAAAACATAGAAATAGGTAAGCCTATTAAGTGGAATTTTCTTAAATAATATTTGAACAATCAACAGGAAAAGTAATCATGTAAAGTACCGCTCTGTTCTCGTATATATCTACAATAAAATTCTATAAACAGTTGTCTCCCAAAACATACCCAAATAAAATTAAAAAAAGATAACACCCAGTGTCCTATATTTGTATATTTATGGTCATTTCAAAACAAACAAACAAATAAAAGAGCCCCACTCAGGTGCATATTTACATTCTTCAAACTGTAGCGGTGAAAAATAATTCTATTAAGTGCAGGACATTCCTAATGTTGCAGTAGTGACATTTTTCTTAAGTCTTCATGAACACATTGCTTTTGTCTTAATGGTGATGCATTCCATAACTATGAGACAGTTCTGTCCTTGCCTTCATTTGCAGACGGTGGCACAGTCAGGATTAAAGAGCTCCTTGTATAACGGAGGAAAGAGTGTATTCACTATGTCTGGATGCGACTGCTTAAATACCTGCAGCTTCTCCCCGTGCAAGTTGCAAACGGCCGTGATGGTTGGTATCTTGGCTATTAACTGCAGAATGGAAGGACAGGGAAGGAGACAAAGAGGGAAGCTCATTAGTGCTCTATCTTCTGAATCAGTGTCTTTTTTGGCCCCAGATGAAGGGAAATGGCTTTGGAAAAAGATGTTCAGAAAGAAAGAAGGCTCACTTTCAGCTTTTCCTTTAGAACAAAACAAAACAAAACAAAACAAAACAAAATGCTCCCCCTGCGGCCCCTCCCCCCACCATCCTCTGAAGGGAAAATAAAGAGAAAGGAAGCCAGACCAAGCTTCCTGATTCACTGTTCTTAAATAAAGTGTATAGGAGGTAGTCTCATTGAAGCGTCAGGAGTGGGTGCTCTGCAAGCAGGCTGACTGAGCTGGAATCCTGGTTCCAAAATAGCTAAATGGCTGTGTGGCTGTGACAGATGCCATGTTTCAGTTTTCTCATTTGTAAAATGGGCTTAGTCACAGTAACTACTTCACTGGGTCATTCTGTGGCCTGAATGAGGTAATTCCTGTAGAAGTGTTAAGAACACTGGAAGCATGAAATGTAGTTGTTCGCTAATATTATTAGTACCTCTTATTTCCCACAGATTTTTATGATGTGAATAATAGATTTTTAGCGTTGGAAGGTGACCGTGTGAGGAAGGTGCCACCTAAACCATAGGAGGTGTATTTCAAAATTGCCTGGATTGCTTTGCTGTCAAGCTCACTGGCCTGTCTATATCTCTCAAGTCCTTCTCTGCTGTAATGCATGAAACGAAGCCTATATTTAATCAAGAGAAAATATGAGACATCACTGGCACTTAGCTCATTTAGGGAGATGTTTTAAAAACCTGGGTGAGAATACCCACTTATGATTGTTAGATGTTTTCGTGTTTTATATGCATAGATTTTGTATATGTATAGTTCAAATACCCAGAAGACAGTGTTTTGTAATAATTTAAAATGTCCACAGTTTGACAAATCCTATATAAGTGATAGGAGGTAAACAATTCTAGCTTTGAACATGCTTATGATATAGGGACACTTAGAATCCATCATTTAGTGTCAAAATTAGCCTAAAACCAAGCGTCATTGTCATCTAATTACTGTGAGAATGGGGTATGTTCTCATATAGAGAATAGTTTTACAAAATGTAAGCTTGATAGTTCATATAGCTCACCAAAGGTACACTTGAAAATGATGATAATATAAAATTTAATAAAACTCATCTAATCACCAATTAGTCTCACTGTGCTCCCTACCCTACTTAATAATAAGAAACCATTTTAGTCTTCGAAGTAAAAAAGGAAAGAGATAATTAGTTACTTTGTGGCTTTCCAAAATCAGAAATTTCCTCTCTTTCATTAACTTTTCTTTTAAGAACTGATGACGATATAACTATGCTATGAGCAATTTAAAAATAGCTTTATGATTATAGCTGTTGACATATTCATTAAAAGGATCTAGAATGCATAAAGAAGTCTGGTGTTCAGACTTTCCATTTCCACTGCTACTTAGTTATATAGGGATGGAAATAAAAAATGAAAATGAAGGCTTTCTATCCAACATTATGAGTCGCTTAAATTTGTAACAGGCACTCTGCTAAAAAGGAGAAGACACAAAATGGTGTGGTTCTTGCTAATAATCTGCTTCAAGAGATAGATGTGAATAAAATGACCACACAGTCAAAAACAGACTGAAAACCTGTGGTGAGTGCTATAGAAGAATGATGCTAGAAGTGGTGGATAATAGGACGTCCTGACCTCTTCTGGCAGGCCAGGGAAGGCTTCCCTTAGAAAGTGACACTACACTGAGCTTTGAAGGGAAAGTGAGAGCTAACGACATGCTGGGGTAGGGGTTACATAATATGCCCCCGGAGCAAACGCAGAGATGCTCTAGTGCTTGCTTTGGGCACTGGAAGGAGCTGAAGGAAGTTCAGTGTCACTGGAGCAATGGATCAGCATGTTCAAGGATAAAGCTGCAGCGGTGGGCACGGCCAGATAACACAAAGTCTCAGTTTCGTTAAGGTCTTTGTAAGGGTTTTAAGTGAAAAGAAAAGAAAGATGATCAGAATCTCATTCTGGCCCTGGCTGGTGTGGCTCAGTGAATTGAGCACTGGCCTGTGAACCTGTGGTCCCTGGTTCGATTTCCAGCTAGGGCACATGCCTGGGTTATGGGCCAGGTCCCCAGTAGGGGGTGCGCAAGAGGTAACCACACATTGATGTTTCCCTCTCTTTCTCCCTCCTTCCCCTCTCTCTAAAAATAAATAAATACTATCTTAAAAAAAAAGACTCTCATTCTGAAAGATTTGCTTTGGGTCCAGGGTGGAAAACTGGGTCTTTTCTATGTTTTCACAGGTAAGGAATGTACAAGTGTCTACTTAACTAGAGTTCTTTGGGAAATTATTCAAGCTCTCTTAACCATCTGGTTCACACAGAAGGGGACTATAACAGTTTCAGAATACTTCTTACACTTTACAATTCTCCCCGAAATAGCTATTGAATGCAGAGAGGCTTTCAAAGCTTTCTATAATCATCTGCGGTTGAATTGATGATGTGCAGAGCTCCTGAAACTTCCAGAAGCAACTCTAGAAAGCTTTTCCATCTTTAGTGAGCATAAAAATTGCTGGGTTGCTTTCCACAAATGCAGATTACTGGAATCTATCCCCAGGGTCTACGTTTGTTAGTCCAGGTAGAGCTCAAACTCCACGTTTGAAATGAATGTCCTGTGGGGATGCAAATGTAGTAGGTCCAGGATTGAGAAACACTGTTTCAGAAGATCAAATCTTATACATTTACAGCCATTTCCAAAATTGAGAAGTAAATTCTCTCTTATGTTTGAAACAGTCCTGGTAGCTGAGTGTAAGGTTGGTGGCTTTTCAGGAGACAGGCAGGGAAGTTATACCTAGAGAGGGAAGAGTCCATGAGCTTAGTTCTGTTAGTTTGGTGAGGACAAGTAATGACATTCCTGAGTCCCCCGACAAACCAGAAGAGGATTAACCTAGTGATAAAAGAGTATGGGCTTTGGAGCCTGTCTTTATCCTGGATCTGCTATTTACAGCTATGTGATCTTGGGCATGTCACTTACCTATCAGCTTTATTATCTGTCAGATGGCAATTATGGCAGCCCCTATTCCAGAGGGTTGTTGTGAGGATTAAGTGAGTGAACAGAAACTGTCTATAACAGTGCTTGGCACATAGTGGTGACATACATGTTAGGTGTCATGCTTCCATTCCCACATAACGCTCCCTTCAAGGAGAGGATTACATAGGCAAGGCCATGTGTGTTTAGGCAAATGAGATGTAGGGCAAGAAACCAGCTTAGTACCAAACCAAGCACCAAAAATTGTGTCTCTGTATGTTATGTGTGAATACAAAGTCAGCCATTTACTTGTACTGAAATAAAAAAGCAACATATTGGTTTGCATTTTTTGTAGCGATTAAAGTAAGTTGCTCATTTAATAAACTGTGATCCATAAAGTAGAATCTTAGGAACTACAATTCTTAAGAGCATTCTTCTGTTTCTTTAGAGGAGAGGTGTGGGAAAGTAAATGCGTGAGAGGAGGACCGAAACCTTTCTATACTTGTTCATTTGTGCCAGAATTATTTAACCATGTGCTTGGTTTCAGAAAGGGAACATGGACAGACTCTTGCTTCTTTCCTGCCTAAAACTGGGGTTAAGAGGCATCTGATTCAGAAATTCATTTTCCCCTCTCCTATGGGATTTGGATTCTGTCCCTGTTGCTCATCTGTAGAATGGGCTGAATGGTGAGAATTATTTTTTGTTAAAGAGCGCGGGAACTGCTTGAACAAGAAGCACTGAGAAAGGCAAAGGGCTTCTTCAATCTATGTGCTCTCAGAAGAGGTCGATTTAAAGGCATCCAATCAGCTGTGGAGATGGAAGCGTTGACAGGGGCATCCATCACTGTGGAGGCAGGGTGGGCCAAGAGGCCGTGTGGAGGCAGCAGTAGCACTTGTCAGAGCCCAGAAGGGCCTGGCGGAGGGAGCAGCAGGCAGTCACTTATTGCTCATTAATATTATGTACTACCGCTGGGGGACCCCCATTTCAAAGGGAGCTCCGAGCAGCCGCAGCAGCAGTTAATGGCTCAACAACTTTTTAAACAGCTGGGGAGGTGATCCAGAAGCACTTGGAGATGGAGGGGGTAGTCAATTTCAAATCATCATGAAACTTCTTCATGTTTAAATAATCCCCATAGCAGGAGTAGACAGAGGGTCTATAAAAAACACATTTTCACTCTCATCTCTTTCTTATACCAAGTTTTTTTTTAATAAGAAGGAAGCTTTAACTTAAACTTAAAGGGGTCTATAAGAACAAAAAGCAGCTGTTCAAGAAGAGATAATAATTCTATGCCTCTTTCCAGAAGGTAGTTTTATGGGAAAATCCATAATTTTATGACTGGTGTATTTGATGTTGAAAAAAATGAAACATGAAGAGCATAAAACTAGTGATCTCGTTCATATGGGCTCCCAGGCCACCTAGATGCCCTCAAATCTGATTCAGGACACCGACAAGGGTTTGATCAAAGTGTAAGAAAGTTCTGAAGCGCTGATAAAAACAGGGCACGTGTGAGGCTAAACACTTCCATTTCACTTGTCTATTCACGTTTAAGCTTTCATTTAGTAACTTGATACTATGATAATAGAAAGACAAACTTCTGTCTCTATATTGATGATGCAGTTTTGTTATGGTTATGCTAGAAATGGACTTAGGAATTAAGAAGTTAGTGAACCTGTTGGCTTGTATCTCTGCCAGCTTGACTATCAGAGCTCCCCCTGGGAAGGCTAAAGCCTTCCAGAGCTGAGGGGGAGATGAACCTCAAAGGAACAGGTTTGTCACCACATGGTGCAGCCATTCTTCTCAGCCAGGGTATTCTCTTCCCATAGCTAATCTGAGATTTTTCATTGCATTTTCGTTAACATGGCATAACTTCAGGCTCATACCTATGGAGGAAAAGATGCTGTGTGGCATCTCCACAGGCTGTAAGAGCTTAGAAAGACTACTTAATAATGAGAGAAAAAAGAAAATAATAATAGTATTGCTATCATCTTTCCTTGAAGGAATATTTTCTATAATAACAGAAAAGAGAGGGCCCCGTGAGGGGCAGGGAACTTCCTGGCCAGCCAGGAACAGGAAAAAAGAGAGGAGTGACAGAGATTCCCTGAGCTTAGCCAAATAACTCCTCTATATAGACACCGCCACATCCCAGAAGCATCCGAAGGGGTTTATCAGCATAGAACTATGGGTCTGAAAACACCCAGAAGGGTGGTGTGGCCCGTGATTCCTGGAAAGGTAGCATCTATAGCACATGTCAATGTACAAGCATGTGCACACTGTTTTGAGAAATGAATCGAAGGCATGGCGCTCACGGAAGTGCTCCAGCTGTGGAAACATAAAAATGAGTCTCCCTCTAGGCTCTGCATATGGTGAGGTGAGCAGGTTCCGTGCTCTGAGTTCTCCATGTCTTCTCATTGGGTATATGTATGTGTTGTTTTGGAGCTTGCTGCTTTTAAATTTCTCAGTCCAGCTTTGGATAAGAACGTACCTCCTGGAGTGCTGCATATATTTGGAGGAGTGCTGGGAAAATATATATATGCTAACTAACAATATTCTACAACTCTAACTACCCAAGAGACACTGCAGGAGGGGCTGGACTGGAGAAGCCTACATTGAAAAGGCTCCATCTATGACCTTGACCCCGACGCTGCTCTTAGGAAAGGGCTGGGAGTGTGCACCCGAGGGCAGGATATGAGCAGACATGCAGACCCATGTTTTGCCCTTGGCCATGAGGGGACTGCCTCAACCTGGCACTAGCTGGACTGGCTCCTTTTCTCCTCCACCCTCTGCTCCTCTGTGCAGGGCAACAAGAATGGCGCATTTAGTGACTTGTAATAAGGAAGCCCACAGGCCGGAGAACAGAATCGTCACTGGTCTTTGCAGTTCTAACATTCACTGCTTTCTCTCCCATCCTACCCCTCCCATAGCAGTCAGTGGCCATGCTATTATTAACTGAGTGGATAAAGAGTGTCACAAGTTCCTAATACCAATAGCAGTCCTCACCCTGGAAAGTGAGGACCTCAAAGTGGGTCATCACAGCACCTACAGCTCAAGGTGACAGAGCCCCACTTGAAAGCTTGACAGGAATGTTGACTTCTGGACGCAGGCTTTATAAACACTGTATGCTTTGCAGCTCTGGGCCAGAATGTCATCCTGGACTAAATTACCATATGCACGGAGTACTGATTTGACTCTACAAGACTTGGTGAGATCAGTATTTCTTCACTTATTGTAATGGTAGGACATCTAAAGAATCTTAAAACTACCACACTGTACTGAGCATTGAAGGACAAAAGATCTTCAGGAGAAACCTTTGTTTTTCTCTTTTTGAGTCAGAGAATATTGTGCTGAAAGGACTTCAATGACCATCCAGTGTAATCGACTTATTTCCCAGGCAAAAAAAGTGAAGCCCAGAGAACAGATGGGCTGCCTCCCTTAGATAGGGCTTAAAATATATATGTGTATTATAAATATATATGTGTGTGTATTTTTTCATGAGCTTCAGTGAAAATGACCAGTGTCATCTCATTTAATGGCTTCTCAAGCGAAGGCTCCAGCAAAATCTAGTATTCATAGCTTAAATATACTTATATTCTCTTACCTCCATATCATGTCTCTGATCACTTGGAATGCCATACTCTACCTCTTCACTCCCTTACCACCCCAACTTTCATTTTTTGAAATAGTTTTCATCCATTGGTGATTAGCTCAAATATACCATCTCTTGGATAAAAAAAATTCTCTGCCAAAATAAAATTTCTGCTGTCCCACAACTACAACAGCAGTTACAAACTACCAGTTATGAACCATGTATCTTGTTTAAATTTGATCACATTTAGTCTTCAAAATAACCACATGCGATTGATACTATCTGTAGTCACATTTTACAAATGAGGAAACTGAGGCACAGAAAGGTTAAGGCACTTGTCCAGGGTCACTCAGCTAGGAAGTGGTTTTGATGGTTTATTACAGATATACCACATATTATCATTACACTGATGAGGAAAGAACACTAGATTATTTATTATTTTTCTAGACAGACAAACAAACAAACAAACAAACAATTTATATATAGAGATTAAAACCTTTTAGTTAATGGACACAAATTTCTGGAATTTTCAAACCTTCCCTTGGTCCAAATTTGCTCACAAGTATAAGGCACTGTTACTTGAGCTTTAATTTCAGGAGGTGGGCATGTAGAAAAGTATGTTGGAGACTGTTCTTTCAGGACAAAGTCCACTGACAGTGAGTGAGTCCTGCACCTCTCACTTGACGTCTGCTACACCTGTTCAGGGTCAAAGTGGTTGGCAGTATAAATAGTCTTTGCACATTGCACAGGAGGCAGATCTACCCCATGTACTGGAGATTTAACCTGAAACCCTGGACTTCAATAGAACAGTTGGGTATGTGTGCATTTTTCTAGAGATAGGTTTGATAATGTTTATAGACCCAAAGGGTCTATAAGTAACGTACATTAAGAGTAGTGCTCACTGTTTCAGAGGTGTCGTGGAGACTGAAGACCTCCACGACTATGAAGGCAGAAGGAACATTTCTGAAAACGCGAGAAGACTCTGTGGTAGGGTAGAATAATTCTCTTGGATTTAAATGAAACATTTATTTCATCTGGAGAGTGTGGGTTTCGTGAGAGGGTGTCCCTGTATGTCTATGATGCCATTGTCCTTAAAGCGTTCAAGCTGTGTAGAACTGGAGAGACTTGTCCATCCCTACCCCAGCACCTGACAGTTGATGAATCTGAGTCTTAGACAAATGGAGTGACTTACTCAAAGCTACACAGTTAAGAGGTGGGATAAAAGAGAGTCCAGTGTTCTCATTCTGTTTCATGATCCCTTCTCATTAGTTCAAATAACATCCTATTATAGTGATGACTGTTACAAGGGTCCACACAAAAACCCAATATCCGTACATGACCTGTGGAAGCAATGCTTTGTCATCTGGCTCAAGTGAATTTTATACAACAAATTGCCCTCTTCTAATGCTTTCTCTGGTCTCCAGGTTTGTGACATTATTTCTCTAAGAACAGAACTGAATATATGTTAACTAGACTTATTGTTGTGGCCATTTTGAACATATAATATAAATATCAAATCAGTATGTTATATGCCCAAAAGTATATGTAATGTTGTATGTCAATTATGTTTAAAACTTAAAAAGTAAAAGAACTGGCTTATGTACCTTCCCTACTAAAGATGGAGAAGGAAGAATTAAACTGACCTACAGTCGGTGTTTCAATTTTTTTCTTGCCATTAAATACCCTTCGTTCTTCAATTTCTCTGTCTCCCTTCTAAAATACCTCAGATGACCAGCACCAGGACAACAGGATATAAAAAAATGGTTTAAGCATGAGAGTTTTACTCTCCTAGGATAGTAATAATCACAATGTCACAGTGTGTTAGAATTCATGCAGTGCATATATTTCATTTGAACATCAAAACACATCTATACAGAAGTAAGGAATTATGATTTTCATTTTACACATGATGAAACCAGAGTTTTCTTAAAAGAGACAATCCCCCAAGCAGAAAAGCAACAACTTTTGTCTAACTCTGGATTTTATCAAGATTTTAATTTTTCAGTGGCAAATATGGGGATCAAAGTTTTTGAGAGATCCCAAATGCAGGAAACACCGCCCTCCCTTTAATTAACTAGATGCATTTATGCATACATGCTAATTAAGCAATTATAGAGAAAGATGCATATATTCACAGTGCCATGTCTTCTGTCCAGAGTATCTGAAAGCATGTTGTTTAGCTCTTAACTGGGAGAAAACTGAGGTATAGAGAGAAGGTGATTTGTTCTTTTCCACATAATGCAAAGTTACACCAAAGAGAAATATCACTCTACAGTGCGGAAATGTTCTTTCTAGTATGTGTTAATTTTAATAAAATATTATCATAATGAAGCAGCATATTTAACTCATTAATGCTTTGTATGGGCAAAGTAAAATCTGATAGTGTCTCCAATAGTCTTCCCTTCTTTTTAAAATAAAGAACTTCAAGAGCAGTGTGAGAGGGTTTTACCATGAATAAGCTCCATTTCCAAGAGGCTTACCCTCTTAAAAATTCCAGTTTTTAAGAGAGCAAAGATAATTAAAAATCTAAAATAATTCTGGCTCTCAAAAATATTCCATTTCTTGAGAAATCAGAGAGACTTTAAAAATCTAAAATAATGCTAAATATCAGTTATTAGAAAATTCTTTCCTCCTTTTTACAATCATTTTACTTTGGTAAACAACTTTTCTCAGTACTCTTCTTAAACATTGCTATTCTTAAGCTGAGTCAAGAAACTAATGGCATGTTGCTTGCTTTTGCTCATGAGACACTTGTCATTTTGAAAGTACCCCAAGGCAAATTTTGAGTGAAGAGATTAGAGTTGAAGGGAACTTTACAATGAATCAGTCTAATCTTCTATTCTGGGTAGCACTATCATTTACAATATATCTGAGAGGAAACCAAGCAGTATCTATTAGAATATGGCCAATGACAGGGAGCTCCTGGCTTCACACAGCGGTCTATGCGTCTGCTCAGCAACCCTCATCATTTTATAGTTATTCCTCTTTTTGAGTAAAAGTCGACCTCCTCTTAACTTTTCCTTAGACCTGACTCCTAAGTGGCACAAGGTCTCCTCTTGTGTCACATATGAACTCTGAGGACTTGATTCCTTGCTTCAAATTTTTGTTTTGCAGATAAAATACCTCACTTTGATTTTTCCTATAGCTGGGGTTCAGGTCCATCAGTATCACCTTTCCCTAAGGATGTCATTCTCCTCTCAATCTTTTAGAATTTACTAGTCTCCTTTTTAAAATGTGTACCTCAAACTTTATGCACCTTTGGTAACTTTCAGAAATTGGTTTGCTGAGAAACATCTCTTGCTTTATGCAACCAACTCTCTTTTGCTTATTGCATTCTCGTTCCTTGACAGTGGGCCTGAGGTTTGAGGACCTACCTTTGCCAAGGTCTCATCATCCAGGTGATTCTTCTGAATGACATGTTGAAGTGCAAAATAAATCTTTTCCTGAAGCTTCTGGACCTTCCTTGGTTCTATCAGCCAGGCTCGGTCTGACAAAGGAAAAGAATGGATCAGAAAGGTAGGGAACGTAAGCTTGGTTTTATTTCACCTATGTATACAAGGACTGGGTTTCAGACCCACTTCAAATGAGTTCTAAATTGCTTCTGGAGTCATATAATTTTTTGTAGAAAACATAAATATTTTATAAGCACTTCTATGATGAAAAGAATGCACCCTACATTGATATAGAAAACCAGAATGGAGGCAAGGACCCACTGGCTAGATAAACTCCTTCATGTTTATTATTGTCTGTGATGATTTACATCTCTTACACTTTCTGGACATGTACTGAGATTTTCTTTCAAAATGGAAATTAATGGTTTGTGAAGAGATGAATTTTAGAAGTGAGGAAAATTTTTTGAATAAGAATATTTTTGGTGTTCGGGATCCCTCTTCCCTTTCATAAGCTATGCTACCATTTCTACAGCATAAACACAAATCAATTAAAAAATTTAAACCTGAGTCCTCTTTTTCTATATTGAATGTTTAAATGATGAATAGGATAAGCCCTTTATTCTTTTCTCTCTTCCTCCTTTTCTTCCTTTTTTATCTCCCCCTCCCTCTCTTCATTCTCTTCTTCCTTCCTTCTCTCCCTCTTTCCTCCCTTTCTTCCTAGAAGCTTTGGACACCATGGTGATAAAATTCAGCACAGCATCAATGCCTTAGGTTGGAACTTCAATGGAAGGACACCCAGAGTCTCCAAATGCTGAACAAATACTCATGGAAAAGAACCTGGACATGATCCTCCTGAACACAGTTCAGGTCAGGTGAGAAACTCGATTCTGTAATCCTAGACAGGGCAAGAACAAGTCTAGCCAACAGTTAAGCAAACCCTTACGTAAGGGAGCACAAAAGCCTTCAGTTGACAATTGTCAGTCAGAATAAATTAAGTTTCCCTCCCTCTCCCTTCTCTAAACTATCTGGAGCTGAATAGACAGTGGTCATTATGGCAAGAACCTGGGGGATGGGTGGGGTCTGGCATAAGAAGGAGCCTACATAGTTTGGAAATCTGTCTTCCCTCTCTCTCTTTTTTTTTAATGTGGCACTTGACCAGAGTGGCAAAGAAGGCATTTGGAGGTGCTAAAGCCTCTGGGTGTGGGTCTGCTATGAGTGTTGGAAGATTCACCACTAGATAGAGTAAGCCAAACATAGTGCTTCCAAACTCAGCAGAATTTGATGGCCGTAGCATGTCATTTCAAGAGAAAGGCTCATATTTCAGTTGATTCCTTACTTATAGGTGTAGGCTTGCCTTCCTTCTGAAGTAGTAATCCTTAAGGATTGTTTAGGTTTGATATATCATGGCTTAAATATTTGTTGTTAGGAATTTACTGACTTGCCATGAACATACTTACAGAGGACAGTGAATTTTGCAATACTTCCTCTGAGCAAGCAGGAACCAGCTTGAGACCAACTCTCTCATCATAGACCCACAAGCTCAGAATTAGTATTTTATTGACCTATACTTCATGAACAATCAAATGCAGTGAGAAAATGGTATGAGGAAAATTATTTGGCATTTTGTTAATACCAGAAGTACATATTTCTTGTCACTTCTTCCATTTATCTTTGTGCTTTTAGTCCTGGGAAATAAGAAATTTAAAGAAGGGACAGCTTCATTTTTAGAGCCACAAAAGAAACTGTTAATAATAATGCTCCAAATGATAACAAATTTGCATTTTTGATAAAGTAGCTGTGTAAAAAATCAGAAGCAATGAAAAAAAATCTTCAAAAGATTTAAAAATAAATAAATAAAGCCTAATTGATAAAATTAGTAGATACAGCTAGAATGATATGTCAAAGCATACCATGGTAGGTAAGGCTGGTTTCTTCCAGTCTCCCTGAAAAATATGTTATGTTAATAGAAAAGAGATCTGGTCTCTAGAGATAAATGGGTTATAGAAGGAATGCTTGTCTTGACAGTAAAAATTAGCAGGAATGTGTCTTTCTTTCAGTGGAAAACTGTCAATGACACTGCTATCCCTTGAAAGACAGCTGAGTGAGTGACTCTTAGTTCTCATTCTGGTTGAAGAAGGAGCCATGTATATGTTAGGATTCTATACATTTTTAAGCTGGCATATATTTTTAAAAAGTATCTCAATTACTACAGTTCTATTTGATCTATAAATGTCGCATCTTATCTTCTTTGAAAACTTTTTGCTGTGTCATTGCATTTTGGTGCTAGGCTAGGTCTTTATTATAAGGAAATGGAGGCTCTAAGGGATCAAGTGTTTAAAGTCACACAGATTAAAGGTGACAGAGCCTGTACTAGAACGTCTACCACCACAACAGAGGTTCTTCATTTTCTGGTCTTACTAAGAGCCATTTTTTCCTCTCCTGTCCTCACCTCCTTTTAAAACCTCTAAGGTGTCTAAAGATACATAGATGAATGAATGAATGAATGAATGAATGAATGAATGAATAAAAGTAGAGGCACCAGCATTTTTCTGAAATGAGTACACCAACATTACTCTGGGTGGAAAAGCCAGAGAAAGAGGTATTTAAAGAGGAGAAAGTATATGTTTTACTTATTTTAGTCCCTACAGTGGTTCTTTCATTCAGGTGTATTTCTACTAAATGTCACTTTACTGGACCTCTTTTTCCTATGTCATTTATTTTTAAAATCAAAATGGAACTTAGTTATAACAAGTCACTATCAGTTTTTATTTCTCTTTTAAGGAATTTTGCTTTTATAAATCTGGAGTGACCCTTACCACATGCTCTACTTTTGTTTTTTTTTAGACAAAACTAGTTATTTAATTGAATTACCCCAAAATATCACAGGCTTGCTAAAGAAGTTTGGTTCTTTTAAAGTTTCTCTTGAGTACCTTGGCTGAGGTAGGTGTAATCCATGTGAAGGATAGTAAAACAGGTTAAAAAGAAAAGGTGAAGACCTCAGTCTTCCCTACCTGGAGATATCAGAACAGCAGATGAGAACAAAGCGATCTCCTCCTCAGTCAGCTGCAAGGAACATAAATTCTTTGCAAAGTCAAATGCTTCATTCACTAGGTCATCAGAACCTATAAAAGAAGGCAAATTAAGTGAAAATATTGATTTGAATGGGCACTAGTAAGAAAAGTTTCATAATTAAAAAGCTATTCAATGATTTACATACTAGGCACATAGTAAAAATATTTTCAAGTTTCTATCCATAAAAAGTGATTTAGTAATAATTATAGAATGAGGAAACCAGGCAACATCTTGACCGGGTAATGAAAGTTAGTATTACCAATGAGGGGCAGATAGAAATGGTGTGTGTCTGTTGTAATATCCAAGTGGGAATAAGTAGCCCGAATTTGATTGTATAGGTTTGAAATTAGTTTCAACTAAAGAATTTAAATAAATTATTTGGGAACCTTTAGTATAGAGATAGCATTCATAGAAAACCTAAAACATTACATATAAGGGGCCGAGGACTATCGGTCTTGGCGGGACTTGAACCTGGACATGCAGGGTATCCAGGGGCCTCAAATTAAGATGTTAAAAACCAGTAGAACAGAGACAAGGTGCTTTTCAATTTGGTAACTTCCTGGAAATTTGATTGAAGAACAAGCAAGTGAATTTTAGCAGAATAATGCTTCATCCCTACACTGATCCTCGGTAAATGTTTATTTGATGAAGCTGGAAATATACCCAAGTTGCTTGCCAAGGGTTTTTCTCCTTTCTTGAAAATCTAGCCTTGGGATGATATAGATGTGTATCAACTGCAGAAGGTAACACTGCCAGCCTGATGGTGCCGTTGGCTACCATATCACCTAACAGCACAAGAGGTCAAAGGGCAGTGGCCTTCTTGGATGTCCAAGGATAGGCTATGGAACAAATGGTACTGTCCATCATTAAAATCTTTCCTGGCATTAGCCCATCTTTGCTAATGTTCTTCCCTATGCCATGCACGGCTGACTGGATGTCAATGACACACAACACTTCCGGAGGCTGAGAGCACCCTTCCATGAGTGTGTTCTGGGGATCATTTTGGGCAGGTTGGCACCCACTCTATCTGTGGTCCCAGACTTCATGCATTAATAGGGAGAGAGTCACTAGTCACTTCTCTGAGTGAGAAACAAATGAAAGAGCTCTTCCTGTAAATACCTTAACTAATGATTATTAATTTACATAAAAAATGTAAGAGGTTACCCCATGGATCAATAGTGGTCTACATAATATACTTTGTGAAGCAGTGAGCTAGAAGGCAAAAGAAAAACTGACCTTACAAAGAATGACCTCATGCATCCCGGATCTTTTAGAAATGGTCTTTATTGATTTCCCAATGAGTCATGGTCAGTCTCAATGGGAACCATGGCTCTCTCCTTCCTTTCATATTGGATGCATAAGTATAAGATCTGAAGAACTAGATGAAACATTGGGGGCTCACCTCGCTCAAAACTCATGAAAAGTTGAATACCAGTTCACATTAGAGAGTCAAGGTATTTCATTTACCAATTTCAAGCTGAGTAGAGAAACCAATGGCAGTTAATAAAATTGTGTCATCATCAAAGGTAAACTTACCTAAGGCTTTGAACATTTGCATTCCTCCATATTTTCCTTCAAACAGAACAGTGTTGTTTAGTGGGTTGAAGGCACGGCACATTCTCACTAACACTACTTCCAAGCAACCTATGAGTGAAAAAAAACTATGTATAATATATGCAGTCATAAAGAGGTTATTATTGCATATAGGTCAAGAGACTTTTAGGAACTTTAAAACATGCACACAGACCCATATAGACACACATAAACAGAAATCCTTCAAGTTTCTTTCCTGAGGAAAAGAGCACTCATTTTAGAAATAAATCTCTCTTGATGCTTATGTGGAGAATTAAAGATAAAAATACACTCTAAAGGTGGCTGAAATGGAGGGAAGAAACAATATTTTTTAAAAGCTATATAGCTTTCTATTTTTTGACTAATATTAAGTAGGTTGTTTCAACTCTTGAATTCACAAGCGATGGTAAGTGACCCAGAAAGGAGCTTTGCAGCAGGCAAGCCTAGTCTGTTAACTTTTGTGGACGTTTTGATATTGGGAAAAGTAGCTGTCTGTTTCCATTTTTCACATGCTCTGGGATATTCCAGCACATGATGACTTTAGGTAGGAACTCCCGCAGTGTGTTTCTTGGGGCATCATTTCTATTTGGTGTTCTTAGAAATGAGGGTTTCTTGGTCAAATAAGTTTTGGCAAAATGCTGAATATTATCTCTCTCCAGAGACAGATGGGTTACAGAAGGAATAAGTCTCAACAATCACAGATCAAAGGCTTGGAGAAGTTCCAATGTGAGGAACGTGTTAAACCTTGAGGGACCTAGCATTTCTCTGACTTCTCTGTTAGCACAACAAGGACAGGACCCTTGTCTGCAGCCATAGGCAGCTGTGGTTATTTTATTCACTCAGATATTTCGATGACCTAAAAAAGTCTTTGGCACATAGTAGGTGCTTAATAAATACTTATTGAATGAATTAGTTTACTACCTTTGCCCACCCCCCAAATATTTATTGATATCTGAGGAAATACTGCTGCACAGTTTCTCCATATTTTAGAGAAATGGGATTTTGCCCTATAGAATGTTGGAAGGTGACAGCCACAAATTTGCATGAGGACCCTGTATGGATAATTTGGCTACACTTGTGGTTACCCAAGGTACCCATGGTGTCTTTCTTATGCTGCTACTTCACATTTATGTCTCTGTTTTATTTCTTTTGCTCTGCTGATTTCTCTTTGCTGTCCCTCACATATCACCTACAATAGGGGCTTACACATAGGAGATAATTTATAAATAATAATTGAAGCAATACTTTTTTTTTCAATTTTATTTTAATTTATTTTTTCAGATACATTTGTCTCTGCCTACCCCCCACCACTTTCCCTTGCCCCCTCCCTTCTTCCCTCCCTCAGCTCTTCCCCTTTGGTTTTGTCCATGAGTCCTTGCTATATGTTCCTTGACTTTCCCCTTCCCTTCCTTTTCCCCGCCCCCCCCCTTCCCTCTTGTCTCTGTTGATTTCTTTTCCTTTCAGTGTTGCTGGTCTTATTTTCCTTGCATCTTTGTATTGTTGGTTAGGTTCCGCTTACAGGTGAGATCATATGGTATTTGTCTTTCGCCCCCTGGCTTATTTCGCTTAGCATAATGCTCTCCAGTTCCACCCATGCTGTCGCAAAGTTTAGTAGTTCTTTTTTTCTTTCTGCTGCATAGTATTCCATTGTGTATATGTACCATAATTTTTTGATCCAATCATCTACTGATGGGCATTTAGGTTGTGAAGCAATACTTTTTTAACAAAAACAATAGACACGATTTATTGAGTATCTACAGTATGGAAGGCATGTTCCTTGGCCCCTAATATTCAGGATTTTATTTTCTCCTTACAATACCATGTCAGGTAAGTTTTATTAGCCCCTTTCTGTGGATTACAAGAGGCTTAAAGAGGTTAAGTACACTCCCTCTTGTATTAGAGTCAACATTTTTACAGCAGGCAGAACTGATAAAGATTATACAGTCCAATGGTTTTCAAATGTCAGTCCATGGACTGGTTATATCTGAGACTTAGTTAAAAATAAGATGAACTGGGTTCCCCTGTAGGAGATTCAGATTCCATGGGCCTCAGGTGATACCCATGACTCAGAACAGTCAGTAAGCTCCTCTGATGCTGATGATGCAATTCCAACTTTTCAACTCATCATTTCTAGTCCCTTTCTTTATTTTACAAATGAGGAAGCTTTTATCTAGAGACATTAGCTCAAGATCACATATCAAGTGTGGTGGATTTTCTTTTTCTTTTTAAAAATATTTTGTTGATTATGCTATTACAGTTTCAGTTTTTCTTCCTTTGCCCCCTTTCACTCAGCATCCCCAAGTCCCTCAAGCAATCCCCACACCATTGTTCATGTCCATGCATCATGTGCATAAGTTCTTTCTCTAGTCTATTTCCTATACTGTACTTTATATCCCCATGGCTATTTTGTAACTACCTATTTGTACTTCTTAATCCCCTTATCTTTTTACCCATTCCCCCAAACCCCATCTTATCTGGCAACCATCAAATTGCTCCGTGTATCCATGATTCTATCTCTATTCTTCTTGTTTGATTAGTTTGTTTTTTAGATTCATTTGTTGATAAATATGTATTTATTGTCATTTTATTGTTTATTGTTTAGATTTTCTTCTTTTTTCTTAAATAAGTCCCTTTAACATTTCATATAATAATGGGTAGTGATGACGAATTACTTTAGCTTTACCTTGTCTGGGAAGCACTTTATCTGCCCTCCGATTCTAAACGATAGCTTTGCTGGATAGAGTAATCTAGGTTGTAGGTCCCTGCTTTTCACCCCTTTGAATATTTCTTGCCAATCCCTTCTAGCCTGCAAAGCTTCTTTTGAGAAATCAGCTGACAGCCTTGTGGAAACTCCTCTGTAAGCAACTAACTGTTTTTCTCTTGCTACTTTTAAGATTGTCTCTTTACCTTTAACTTTTGGCATTTTAATTATGATGTGTCTTGGAGTGGGCCTCTTTGCATTGATCTTGTTTGGGACTCTGTGCTTCCTGGACTTGTGTGTCTATTTCCTTCACCAAATTAGGGAAGTTTTCTTTCATTATTTTTTAAAAATAGATCTTCAATTTCTTGTTCTTTCTTTTCTCCTTCTGGCACGTCTATGATGCAAATGTTGGAATACTTGAAGTTGTCCCAGAGGCTGCTTACACTGTCCTTGTGTTTTGGGATTATTTTTTCTCCTTGTTCTCATTGGTTGTTTTTTTGTTCCTTATGTTCCAAATCATTGATTTGATTCTTGGCTTCATCCACTCTACTGTTGCTTCCCTATAAATTGTTCTTTATTTCAATTAGCATATCCTTTGTTTCTGACTAGATCTTTTTTTATGCTGTTGAAGTACCCAATGAGTTCCTTGAGCAACCTAATAACCAGTGTTTTGAACTCTGCATCTGATAGATTGCTTATCTCCATTTTGTTTAGTTCTTTTTCTGGAGTTTTGACCTGTTTTTTCATTTGGGCCATGATAATTTGTCACCTCTTTTTGGCAGCCTCCCTGTGTTTGTTTCTATTTGTAGATACAGCTCCTATCAATCCCTGTCTTGGTAGTGTAGCCTAATGTAGTAGGTGTCTTGTAGGGTCCAGTGGCACAGCCTCCCCTATCACCCACACTGGTTACTCAAGGTGCTCCTTTCATGCGGGCTGAGTATATATACTCTCCTCTTGTATTTGAGCCTTGATTGCTGTTGGAAGGTCAATGGGAGGGATTTACTCAGGTTAGTCATTTGCAAGAGCTGGCTGTGACCACTGACTGCTAACCTCTACCCATCGTGGAGGATAAGCTGTCTAGGGACAGGGTGGTGGCATTCCAACGTGGCCTGTAGCTGTCTACTGGGTGCATAGGCTCTGATATTTCACAGGCGGTGCAGGCCACAGTCAGCCCCGACCTGTGTTTTGTCTGGGGCCACCCTGAATGAACTATAAAGCAATCTGAGATGGCTGCTATTTGTGCTGAGCTTGGAGATTCCCAGGTGGAGCTAAGCTGTGAATCTAGGCTGGCTGCTGCTAGTGCTGGGCCTAGGGCCACTTAATAGGACTTAACAGGAGATAGAGGGACCTGGGGGGACTCACTGAGATCAGCTGTTGCTTGTTTGGTAGGAGTTAGGAAGTTGTAAAGCATGAGACAAGACTAGCGATTCATCTGAAAAAGTCACTGTTAACAATTTGGGTGGGCTCATAAATTGGGTAGGATAGAGTCTCAGGTAATATCCAGGTGGGGGCAAACAGTGTTAGTCAGGTTGATGGAGTCTCAGATATAACACCTGCCTGCTGGCTCTGTTGGGGGGTAGGGCGTAGAAAGGGACAATGGTTACTGCCTGCCTTTCTGTCTGGGAGAAAGCTGTCCCCCAGCCCTCACCTTGATGCCAGACACTTCTGTTCTTCCCTGTATGCCACTGGTGCCTTTCAAGCTACTACTCTGGTGCTGGAGCTCAGAGGGAGTGAGTCTAAGTCTGTGTGTGGGTCTTTAAAGAAGAACTGCTTGGGACTCCAGAGGTTTCTTCGACCAACTCAATCCCTGCTGGTTTTTGCAGCTGGAAGTTACGGGGACTTATCTTCCTGACACAGAACACTGGGCTGTGGGAACTGGTGTGAGGCCGGGACTCCTCGCTCCCAGGATATCCCTCCCAAATTTTTATCCATCACTCCTGGATATGGGACCAGCTTGTTCCAGGTCTCTTCCCTTTCTACCATGTCTGGACAGACGTGGTTTCTTTAATTTCCTAGTTGTCAGATTTCCATTCGGCTTCATTTCTGATGACTCTGAGTGATGGTTATTCTATAGTTTAGTCGTAATTTTGATGTGGTTGAGCCAGGAGGCAAGCTGTGTTTACATTTGCTACCATCTTGACTGGAAGTTGGGTTTTATTTTTCAAAGAAAGTTCACAAAATTATATTCCAATCCACATGCTTTTCTAGAGCCCTACCACTCCCCCATCAAGAATTAAAGTCTATATCTCCTACCCTTGAACCTAGGTGGGCCTTCATGACTACCTCCAGTAATAATAATACTGTGTAACTTCTGAAGCTAAGTCAGAAAAATGCCTTGTACTCTTGGAATGCTAGCTTTTGAATCCTAGTAACTATGTTGTGAGAATGTCCAAAGAGTCTGTGGAGAGGCTCAGGAGGATAAGAACTGAGGCACCCAGCCCAGAACCTTGACTTAATTCTGGGCTGTCAACCATCACAAACTGCCAACCACAGGCGTGAGCCAACTTGAAGGTGGATTCTTCTCCCCCACCCCTTACCCCCCCCTGCTCTAGTCAAGTTGCTTCAGTGAGCAGGACAAGCCGTCCTTGCTGAGCTTTCTCAAACTGTAACTTTGGGAGTGAGGTAAATAATTATTGTTGTTTGAATTAAGTTTTGGTGTTGTTTTTACCCAGCAATAAGTAACTGATACATTAATGTTTGAGTCAAGATTTGCATCCACTTGTATCATTTGGTAAAGAAGCAGCAATAAATTAAATTAACTTAGAATTCTATGTGGTCCAAATTTAAATGCCAGTTTTGCTATATATTGGCTTTGTAATACTAAACACAGCCCTTCTCTTCCCTGAATCTTCACTTCCTCTTCCATAAAATAAAGAAAATACACATAAGATTAAATATGATGTCATAGGTAAACATAAGCATGTATCTGTATGATATTATAGATATGAGTATATTATTATTATTACTATGGCTCAAGGCCATGAAGGTTAACATACACACCATGGTGGTCCTTATCTTCTATTTTCAAATGAGGCCAAAAAAGACAAATAATTTTTTTTCCTGTTTGGGTAGTAGCATCGGCAAAGTCAATCATGTGCAGTTTCTTGAGATACACCCTAATTGTGTGTGTGTCAGAATATGTATGAGAGAAGGAGGAGGGAAAGATGAGAGCATGGTGGTTTCTTCCGGTGTATTCTGGCTGCAGGCTATTCTCATTAAAATGATTGGAAATGACCACAGAAGCAAAGCTCAGCTAGCTCGGGTTTTCCCCCCACCAACAGAAGGCAAGTAGTACATTTTAGAGCCAGCTCAGCAATTCAGCCACCTTGACACGCTAATTACTTGCATTGCCTGTCAAACTGGGTATCTCAACCTTCGCAATTAATAGCTCCACTTTCAATAAGCAAAATTGTATTTGACTTCAAAGGGGAACTGAATGAGTATCAGGGCATTTTTATTGCTGAGAGTTTCCTTTGGGAGTTGGCTGACAGTATGGGTGGTAAAAATGAGCTACATAGTGGAAGGAGGATTTTCTAAAACCAACACTAAGCTCATACTTGACCATATCCTGGTCTAAAATAGACCCACTGCATGAATCTTCTCCTTGTTTACCTGACTTCAGAAGTAGAATCTGATCATTTTGACAGAGTTCCATGAAGCCCGTTATCCGCTTTGCAAACTCGACCACGTATTGGATGGCGTGAGTGATCTGGATGGCACACTGCTGCCATAGTGCTTCCCTGGACTTCAAGAGAGAAAAGACAGGTGTATGTGGAGCAAAGAACAGCTTGGAGAGTCATTGAAATACTCGAGGTTGCCCTCCTGGTGCTTACCTGTCACTTAAAGACCAAGGTGGGAATTTACACGATTCCTTTAAAAGAGGTGGGCAATATTTTCTAATACTGTTTTGAACTGTTAGAACCTTGATACATCACAGTTATCAAAGTACTCAGGCTAGAATAATGGAAACATTGCAATAGCATGTAAAGATAGTTATTTATAGCTTCTTTACTCTTCTTCCCTCCATCACTTAGTCTAAATAAACTCAAGCTCTTTGTCCATTTTGTGAAAACAAACTCTTGCACTGAGGAATACCAGTTTCATTCATGAACTTTTATAAGGTTATTTTCATGTGTACCTGATGGACACTAAACCTTTAATATTTTTATTTTGTGGCCTTTTCCCAGAACTTACAGAGGTTGTTTTTTGGTATAAAATGAATTTCAAGGGAAAAGATAGCAAATCAAATTGCTCTCTAACATAACATAGAATCCCAGAAATATATTTTGATCTTCTGGTTATTTACTTTGGAATGGGCAACATAAATCTAACTGTGTTAATTCTGGTTTTCATTGACCATAACTGTGCTTTTGTTTATTTATGTAAAAGTGGTAAGACTTAATTGTTCCAATATATGTTGTAATCATATATTTAGACACAGACACATTTATTCATTTTTTAAAAATTTCATTTACTGGTAGATGTTATAACTTAGGATCTTAATCCCAAGGACATTTTGATTGTCATAATTATGTATAAGGGGGGTGTTACTGGCATCCAGAGGCTAGAGACCAGGGATGCTGCTAAACATCCTACAATGCATAGGACAGTCCCTACAGCAAAGAATTGTCCAGACTAAAATGTCAATACTTCTGATACTGAGAAAGCCAGAAATAGAGAAGCCACAGAAAAACTTCCCTATCGTTTTTGAGAGTACCTTGCTTTGATACGCTTTAATTTCTTCGTAGGTGTGGGTCTGCCATGCCAGTTGGTGTAGCTCCTCCATGGTGTATTGACATGTCTCCAAATGGGACTTAATGATGTTCTGTGCAATTCGATCTATGAGAAAGAATATCAATCAGTTTGAGGGTTTGTGAACGAAATCCCACCTTGCTCAAAGAAAGCTGCTTTTAATATGCTTACCCTAGGAGTGCCTTTTGGAGGTACTCCAATTGTATCAGACTCACTCTTTATTGCCTATTTTCTTTTTTCAGTCTTTTAAAATTGACTGCCTTTTCCTTCTCTGATTAAGCACACACCTGGGTCTTACAAGCTGTAAGGTGTTCAAATAATTAGTTATTTAAAAAAGAAATACAAATTACCATGTCTCTTGCTTTTGGCCTAAAATTCTACTAACAGTCTTAACATTTACAGTCCAAATACTTTAAAATATTTGAAAATTGTTCATTTTGAAAAGGGAGAATTAAAATATAAATGTATTTGCTCATATTTTTACAAAGGGAGAGGTAAGCAATAATCTAAAAAAATAGTTCTCTGTAGAGGAAGGAGAATAGAGTAGAGGGACAGGGATAGAAGCTAGACTTCTCTGACAATATTATTTTTATAGATTTGACTTTGGAACCATGTAGATAACTTATATAATTAATAAAAGGAGAGAGGTCATAGATGAAATAATAGGACTCATGAGTTAATAATTGAAGTTGGGTCAAGGGAGCATTATATTCTCCTTTCTAATTTTTTATATGATGATGTATTTCTTTAAAAGAGTTAAAAAAGAGCAAATGATTATATTCATAAAAAAGTAGTAACAAACATAATCAGTCTTTTGGGGCCATTTATCCCAAGTGAGTTTTATTTGGTGTTGTATCTTAAATACTGATGATTTGGGGGTTGGAGGCATGACATCTGAGCAATAGAACCAGAAAAATAGAGCTCTCCTTAAAAACCTTCTGTGGATCCCCTTAAGTTGGACAGAGCTAGTAGGAGGTCCCCTCATAATCTCATCTGCTATTGGAACACGTGAACAAGGCAATGTCTTAGGAGACCAAAGTACATAGAAATTCTGCCTGTGGGGTGTGCGTAGAATGAAGATGACTGACGTTCACCCTGATAACTGTTCTTGGCTTATAAGAAATGGAATTTTTCTTGTGTTTCAGGTTGTACCATTTCAAATATAATTTCTTTTATGACAGTTTCTTCTTATCTAAATAGCTATTTTTCATTTCTCTAAGGTAACTCTCAAAGCAGTACTTAGGTAACTTCCTTTTACTTTGCTAAGCTTCTGGTATATATAGGGTAAAATGAATTGAGTTTCAGTGACTGAGAGAATAGAAAATGTAAGCTTATTAAACCTCTAATGAACTTCCCAAGTAAAAAAATCTCATGCAACCCATTGCCTGGTACATTATAAACACTAAATAAATAAATTACCACTATTACGACGTTCTATATAGTTTGTCATCAGGGAAACAAAGCACTGTTTTGGAATCACTGTTACAATGAAGGTTAATATTTCAATATTTACTAGAGATTTTCAATCAGAACTATAAAGTGGTAGATGTATTATTAGAAGGTGCTACAAATGCTAACTTATGATTATAGTTATGTTCTATTGGATGTAGCATTGAGCATTTCTATAATTTCATTGCTTATTATCTTATAAAATACTTTCTTTAAGAAATCCTATATTCAAAATTTCATCAAAAATCTTCTTATACTATAAAAAGGGCAGTAACTGCACTATAAATCATATTAAAATAGATTCGTGTGCCATGGTTCATCATTTTTCAATTTCACTTGGGCAGTCTAGTTACTTAGAATCTAAAAAACACGTATCTCTTCCTTAGTAGGTATATAATGAAAACATAGATTTCTATAGCTCTGTAGTTTTAAAACCTATATCTTCTTGGCATAGTTTGTTTTCATTTTCAAACATATGCTGATTTGTCAGTAATTTACAGGTATCAGGGTTTATAAGCAAAACTACAATTGTTGCTCAAAATTGCATTGTGGAAAACTATCTGTTCTTTTATGACACATCTCAGGAATTGCTGGACAAAGTTTTAGAATTCTATAATTCTGCCACCAAAGCTTAGGGTTTTATGGGATGAGGAGGGATGGGCATAATAAACAGGTGGGCAGGTTAAGCAAAATTGGAAGTTAACTCCACACGCATGCTTTAGGACTCAGCTCAGATGACCGTTCCTGGTGAAGGTTTCCTTGCTTCTCTGTGTGTCCTTATGCAGAAGGACCAGCTGCCATTACACTTTGATTCTACCTCCAATTAAACCCTTATTCTAGTCAGACTCTCATTGTAGTTATTTGTGTGGATTCTGTTTGTTCCATGCTCTTCAAGACTGTGAGCTCTTCAAGAAGCAGACTGCAGAGCTGACATAGTGCATTCATATTCATTCAACAAACAATTTTTGAGAAACTATTATAAACCAGGTTGATGTACAGGTTTTTAAAGAGATTTTCTTTTCAGGATCTTAATATCAAATCATAATGTAATAAACACCCTGAGTTATTGTGGGATCTCAGAGAAGAAAGTGTCTAACTCAATCTGGGGGAGGCAGGAAAACAACCATGGAGAAGATGTTCGTTGACCTGGGTCTGAGCAGGAGTTTTCACATGGGGAAAAGAAAGATGACCCTGAGGTAGAGGGAGTGACATTACCAAGGCACAGACAGAAAAACTAGCGATAAGCTTGATAATTTCTAACACTATGTTTTTACATCTTTACGAACTTTACCTTTTAGCACCAATTTCCTTTTTGCAGAGGGAAAAACAATGAGGTTCAGAGCGCATAAATTGAGACCCATTTTTATAGAGCAAGCAAATGGTGTTTTGAAATTGAGTCTGTCTTTTCTGGCAAGAAGTCTATAGGGCTTGCAGCATAGCTTGTATGGAAGAGATAAGGAGATATAAGACTAGGGATGGAAATTGTGACTAGAGACAGGAGAGCTGAGAAAGGAATTTGGATTTTATCTTGTAGGTGACTGGGAGCTCGCAGAAGCTCTGAAGGAGGAGAGTGACATAGTCAAGTTTTTGTTTTAGAAAGGTGGTCCTGGTCATGGCAAAGAAGATTAGATGGCATTAGAGAGTGTGTGAGATACATGGAGCTGCTGTGAAAATTCAGGCAAGATCTGAGAAGGTTCTGGACTATGTAAGAACAACAGAGATGAAGTGGAGGGGCTGGTTTCAAGACAATTCTGAAGGAGGATGCACAGGAACTGCAAATGAGAGGAAGAGAGAGGAAGAGGGAGGGAGGGAGGGGAAGACAAAGACAGAGAGATAGAGGTAGGGGTGTGTGTGTGTGTGTGTGTGTGTGTGTGTGTGAGAGAGAGAGAGAGAGAGAGAGAGAAAACATTCAATATAGTAGTAGGTGCTCAGCCAATGCTGAGTTAGTAAATAGAGTGTTAAAAATGTCCTTCCTCCCTTCCTTTTTCTACTTCATTTCCTGAAGGACTTTTAGAAAGCTTAGACTGAGCCTTCGTTTAATGATTTTAAAGACTAAGCACTCACAATGGCTTTGAAATCAAACATTAAACATGCAGTTATTTCCCATATACTTTTGTGGTGATAAGTAAAAGGCAAATCTTTTTTTCACATAAGGCTTGGAAATATCCATGAAAGCTCAGACACATTGCAGAGGCATTTAGCCCCCTTCCACTTCCTTCAATGAGTCTGCAGTGCAGAGCCACGTGCAAAAACCTGAGTTGTGCAAAAACCTGACTTGACCCTCTCAAAGCTCAGGCCAATAAACCACAAGGTAAAGCTAGACTTGGTCCCATAGGAGCAAGGCCAGAGGGCTCATTCTGTTGATTAGAAAGATGCACAACCGAGAAGACGGTTTGCTTGAACTGAGAGTCTGCAGTTGTGAAAAGGGGAGAAAGATTTAAAAAGGGACAAAGTGGGAGACAATGAATACAGTATGCTAAGTTCCTGCTGGGAGCCAAAGGAACTTTCAAGAGTCCTTGCCTGGAAAAGTAGAAAAGGTAATAGTAAACGCTATCATCCCCAGGGACCAACCACATGAGAAAGTCCAGACAAAGAGACTGAGGTAAAAGAGCAGAGGATATGGAATCTTTCTGGGCAATCACATTCCCTTCATCCGTTTCCCGACTTGGATTGCAGTTGCTCTCAGAGCTCAGTTTTTGTCGGATTCTTTAACTTGGGCTGCAGGAGGCACATGTTGAAGGAGCCAGCACACACTTTGCTCGGATAATGGGTCCAACAGGAATATGGCCCACATGACTGACTAATGGAAAATTCTACCACCTACAAAGGTGATGCCCATGAACCCTATACTCTGCTCTTTCTAAAACCAGGGATGGGAGGCTAGAGATATAAGTGGAAAATAAACTCAGTTAACATCTTTTCAGCAGTTAAAATTCTGTGTATGTTCAGCAAGACAGAGGTTTGTCCAACTCACCATGAGTATGTGGCTGCTCAAATTTAAAATGATGACAAAGAATGAGGAAAACACTTTTATATGCTCAGTCCAGTCATTTCTTTCAATCATGATGAGGTAAAATGTAAATATTTATGCCAGCAAGGGAAAATTGGGTGTGTAATTATAGGTTGATATTAAGTCCATGATCCTTATTTTCTATTTGTTGATTTCAGGGACAATAGCTTGTTCTCACTATCTTTCTTCTATTTTCTCATATGTAAATGTATATAACTTTAAAAAAATAAAATTGCTCTGTTGTTTTTAGACTTTGACCCTGATACTTTTCTTGAAGGAGGGCTTACTGGAACCCAAGATGTATAAGCACTTAATAAAATTTAGTAACTCTCTTTATAAGATAGAAATAAAATGTGGGATTCCAGTGAAAGAGTCATCCCAGAAATCTTTAAAATAATTGATACAGGTGTATGTTTATGGCATAGATGGTGGTGATGGTTTCATGGGTATGTGTTTATCGCTAACCTTATTAAATTGCATATATTAAATATGCACAGCATTTTGTATGTTAATTAATACTTCAATAAAAATAGATTTAGAAATAATTGATATAGGCAAATATTTTTTGTAATTTTTTCAATATTATTTTGTTTTAGTTTCAAGTATACAGTATAGTGGTTAAACAATC